TAGGCGAATTTCAGAAATCCGTTAAAACATTCCTTCACAGCAAAAAATAAATTTTAATATTACATCCAAGAGGGTGCACTTCAATCATGTCGAAAATTTCATTTATTTTTTATGGCCACAAAAACAAACAAATGCAGTTAAAACAGCGTAATGTCAGTCCACAAACTGAATTAATGAATTGGGATTCCTGTGAAGGTGTGCTGAGAATTGTTTTGGAATAATCTTTAGGATTTACATAGGATTTTTCCACTATTTGATTCTATTCAACAAACGGATTGTCAGTTGCCTATGGTTCTGAAATATCTGCATGGAACTGTGTGCTTATTCTTACACACTTAAAAATAACTAATTTTCCACGTGACGGAATTCATCTTTGACATAAAATATTAGACGTAAACAAACATGTCATATAATATTAAGTACTCCGAGACTAAAATGTTCGATGCTCGACGAAAAATGCGTTCGATTAAGCTATATTTCACGTCTGTTATGAATCAAATTTATGTCAAAATTAACGCTCGTATATGTCACTCTCAGAGCACTTAAATTTACATAAATTTTTCTAAGTGTATACTTAAACATATTTTCTACTGCTACTATTGCCAAGGAAGAGGATAAAGACAAAGGAAAGTAAGACGAGGATTGTGTTGCGCATTGCAAAAAATAATTCTTTTCAGTATACCACAAAAATTATCATCCGGAGACGAACCAGCCCAGGGCTGAAAGTCCCCTTAATAAAGACATTAAAAAAAATATCGTTAGTATACAGTTGGATTTCTCGTTACAATTTTCATACAGTTCTCTTCAAAACTATCTTGAAAGTTGTTTCTTGAAATTTCCGAGTATCGTTCTTTTTTCCATGATCTCTCCTCGAATTATTTTTCAATTCCAAAAAAGTTCATTTGCAATTTTTCTTAAAATGTTTAAGAAAATTCTTCGAAGATGAAAATCCCAAGTAACAATAAAAGCTGAACATTAAGAACAGAAGGTGTACAAAGCTGATTAACATTGAGCTGAATATATAGTTGATTATTAGTGCAAGAAGTGAATTGTATCCCCATAGGTTAGCTGATCCAAAGATTGAACAAGCCTTATTTAAGCTTAACACAACTCCACAAATCAGCAATGCGTTACACATATTTTGATAACTTGATTTGTTAAATATCGTCAGTGTCTGTGTCACTCGTTGCATGTCCGGCATTTTAGTTCTACTAAATTCACTGCCTACCTTTCTAATTACAGGCAGTGGCAGCAGTAGAGACAAGGCAAAGAAGATTTTTAGGAATAGTTCCAGGTAGAAGTGGTCTGCGAGGACGTCGGAAGTATTTACATTTGTACTTCTGTGTTTCGACTGTTCACCACTTTATATTGCACTGAATTTTCAGACCGCATTCCAAACATATTACTTAATTATGGCACTAAAATAGCATCCAAATGACCATCAAAATAAATCGCGTGCTTGTGTCCACATTGTGTAGTGCACTTGAAAATGAGAGGAATGTTTTACTGTCACCAGTTGTTGTTTACAATTCTGCACTGCTGTATAATACTCTTCCGGTTGCTGTTATTCAACCTAAATTTGACGTGCTTCAAGTTAATGATCATACCTTTTACCACACATATGCCTAAATGGTCCAGTAGGTATGGTTGACGCCTATGAATCAGCGACTGCCGGTTCGAGTCCCGAAATGCAAAGGTAATTTTTAGACTTATATTAACAATATAAATATGTTAATCCAATTAGTCAGCAACAAGTTAAAGTAGTTCCATATAAATGCATAAGATATGAAGCGGTCTTCCATTATATTGGAAATAAAACTAGAAGGCTGAACAAGTGTTGGAAAAGACTGTTATTTAATGCCTTAAAAAGCTTATAATGTATATTATTGTTAAGCTTTTGGCTGATTAAAATCACCAGATTTAGATGTTTAAAAGCTGGACAAAGGTTAACGTGGTATATATACAGCAATTTTTCAATCTAAGGCTGAATTGAAATCGATTAATCAACACTTGTTAAGCATCAAATTGTTACCTGGGATGCATCTATAAGTACATTTAAAATACTCTTAACCCAAGAGTCTTCTATTATGTTTTCAAGTTCAGTTTTGGCCGTACGGATGGCGCAGCGATACAAACATTTTTATTTTACAAGATAGAGGTGTGCTTATAATAAAATATATTGTTTGGGTAAAATCCAAATATCTCAAAAATTGCTCAATATATTTTGAGATATTTTGAGAAATTAAGGTGTATTTGGTGTACATTTTAAAAGATTGATGACGTTCCGCTCACTTGCGCATTTTCTAGAAAATTACTTTAGAATACTAAAAACGTGAGTTTCGGGCAAATTTTATAAAACTTCATATAGGGGAAATGTAAATAAACACCAAATTTATAATAGAGGGTGATGCAAATGCCCACACCCAATATGGGGTAGTCCTGATATTAACAAAAGAGGCAAGGATCTCCTGAATTACACATCGTCTAGCAATATTGACATATTTAATAGAGAAAATTCTCCAAAATTTATCAATGTTATTCGACAAGAGGTTCTCGATCTCACGATCTGCAGTGACCTTTTAACAGAAAAGATTGTGGACTGGCATGTTTCTGATGAAGAATCATCGTCAGACCACAAACATATCAGGTTTGATTATAAAGCCGGACCAGTAATTTCAGAAAACTATAGAAACCCAAGAAAAACTAACTGGACATCTATCGTTTCCATTTACTGAATAACAATTCGATTAATGACGAACAGATTAGGACGCGCATGCAACTAGAAAGTGCGTCTGATGCGGTCATCAATAAAATGATCTCATCATATCATGCTAGCTGCCCTACCCAACATAGTCCAGTAGGGATGTTCCTTGCTGGCAAAATTGAGGAAGATATCCAGACGGCTGTTCAATAGAGCAAAGGCTACTTCAGATTGGGACCAATACAATAAGACTCTAACTGAATACAACAGAGAATTGAAGCGAGCCAAACGGAAGGACTGGAGATGGGTATGTGAAGACATCAATAGCGCTCAAACAGCTGCGAGGATGCATAAAGTTCTTTCAAAAGACCATTCAAATGGTCTTGGTAGCCTCAAAAAAAGAAGATGGGACATTTACTGCTGACTCTTCTGAAACATTGGAAGCAATGGTAAGGACTCACTTCCCAGGGTGGAATCCTTTGGCGGCTGAAGAAGAACAGGGCAAGAAATGCATGGTCTGAAGATGCCTATCTGAAAGCTTGTGAAATCTTCACACCATCTAGAGTTGAATGGGGGTTCAACTCTGCCGGGAAAGATGAAATATTCCCAGCATTACTTCAACAGGGAAAAGAAGTACTCATTCCCCTCTTAACTGAACTATTTAAAGCCAGTGTTGCTTTAAACCACATACCAAAAACATGAAGAAAGGTTCGAGTTGTCTTCATTCCAAAAGCTGGAAAAAGGGATAAACCGACTCCGAAAGCCTTCAGACCCTTATGGGCATTTCCTCTGTTCCGTTGAAGACAATTGAAAAAAAAATGTGGATGACTTCATTAAATCAACAAGTTTAGCAAGGTTACCTCTTAGCAAATTTCAATTCGCTTGTCAATCAGGTCAATCTCCGATAACGGCATTACAATCGCTGGTTAATAAAATCGAGAAATCGCTTGAAGCCAAGGAAATAGCCGTGGTTGCTTTTCTTGATATTGAAGGAGCATTCGATAATGCATCCTTCAGCTCAATGCGTTCAACTATGGAAGCAAGGGGCTTGGATAACTGCATTATCGAATGGATAATGGCGATGCTCACAGATCGAGATATTTCTGCTGATCTTGGACGTGCGCAACTAACTATAAGATCGACGAAGGGTTGTCCTCAAGGAGGGGTACTATGATTGGTTACGCAGACGATGTGACCATTATAGTGCGTGGAAAGTTTGAGAACACGATTTCAAATCTGTTACAAACTGCCCTAAACATGACCTTCCATTGGTGTAGGAGAGAAGGCTTAAATGTAAATGTAATGTTGACACAGCCTACTCTAGATGGAGTTCGTGGATGAAGTTAAATACCTAGGTGTTACTTTCGATAGGAAACTGAACTGGAACTCTCATCTTGACAAGGTTATCACTAAGGCTACAAATGCGCTATGGGTCTGTAGCAGAGTTGAAAAATGTTGAACTTATATTTTGAATATCACAATAAGATATACATCAGTGCAGAAATGTTCACTGAAATTCATTCCTTGCTTTCTTAACGCAGGTCATTATGATTTGACGTTTCAGTGAATTTCTCACTTTCGGTTTGTTTTTTTTGTTATCTTTCTCATTCAACACGCGTGAACTCTTGTTGTTAATCCACGATTGTCAGTTTTAGTTCCCTCTTATTTCTATTTTCTATGCAGAATATTCATTTCATCTTGGATTCACGGAAGATAAATATAGAAAAAATCGCATTCATTTGCGCACAGTGATTTTTTTCACCAGCAGTAATTTGAAGCGTGCTGTAAAACTTTCGTTTTCGCGTGAAGTCGTATTAGTTTTAATTGACTGTTAATATATGATACGCATCCCTGTTTTCTCCATCATCACTTGACGATGGCCTCGACAAGCGGAGAAAACAGCAAGAAACGTAAACGAACGCTAATCGATATAGCCTCCACATTTATCTTGAAGGATGGAGCAAAAGCTTTCTGCTACATCGACCCCGCAGGCAACTGTAAATACGTTCAAGCTAGGTTTGACGTAGGAAACTTCATCCGTCATTTCCGACTTCGACACGACGAGCTGGCGAACTCAAATGGCCTGTTGCAAGGTTTCGATCCGACGGCAAAGAAGCCAAGAGTCATACCAAAATGTCCCATTCCTATTGACCAGCAGCTGCTCATTGAATCTACGGTAAAGCTAACAACCTACCATCAGCTTCCTTTGTCATGTTTTGAGTGGGAGGGCTTCAAAGATCTTTTGCAACCGATCACAACAGCTCTCGGATGTACTTTGAATCGATCCACAATGCGGGAGCACCACACCAAAATTGCGATGCGCTTGAAAGAAATATTGAAGGAAGAAATGCACGGAAAGCTAATTTGCCTAAAAGTAGATTCCGCGGCCCGGCACAACCGTCACATTTTAGGAATAAATGTTCAATATGCTGTAGGTGACAAAGTGGTTATTCGTACGCTCGGTAAGTGGTTTAACTTGTCCTTATTTTTTTCACTAACACACACACACACACATGCACGTACTCACGCATTCCGAAGCATGATACCTGGTCATAATTAATCTTTCTTTGCAATGCATTTCTTCCAGGAATGATTCAAGTAAAAGAAAGCCAGACAGCAACTTTTTTGAAATCGAAAGTTATGGAAACGTTGGCTGAATACGGACTGTCTGTTGAACAGATTTTCTCAGTAACCTGTGATAACGGGGCCAATATGTTGGCAACCGTTAGAAAACTGAAGCACGAATTGGAGTTGACCCTTTTTGAGAAAACTGATGGAGATGACGGTGAAGAAGGTCAGTCAGCAGAAGAATCAAAGCGTGACATCAGTGAAGAGCTATGCATTGAATTCCAAGAAAGGATTAATCTCGTGAGATGTGCCGTCCACACTCTCCAACTCGCAATATTGGACGTTGTGAACAAGTCCAATGAATCCGTCAAGAGCCTCACTGATGTTGCCAAGAAGTGCAAAAATGTCAAATATCGCACCTTCTTCGAGTTCCACACCGCGTCGTACCCCCCCGTTTGGAGCCAAACAAGATGGGGTGGTATTTTTAAAATGGTCGAATCATTCAAAGATCAAAAAGTTTTCTTCACGACACTTGCCGATCAATTTCCCGAGCTTGGTATGTACAAAACAGTTTTCCAAAATAGTACTCAAACACTCATCTATAAAACATTCCGTATTTCACAGATCTTTCAAGCCTTTGGACATTTGTAGACCATTATTATGATGCGTTCAAGCCGTTGTACATCTGCACCAAAAAAATGCAGGAGTCACATGTATCCCTACCTGATTTCTACATGGCTTGGCTCATGGCCACAAGTGAAGTCCAAAAGGTTACCGATAATCCTTTTGTTCCTGCTTTAATACAATCATTGAGGACCAGATTGGATGCGTTGCGTCATTCAAGAGCATTCAAAATGGGATTGTTTCTCGATCCCAGATTCAACTACCATGCTTCAAAATTATTCACGGGAGATGAAAAAGAAGAAATACAGGTATAATATCACCAACACACACACATAAGCGCGCGTGCGTATTACTTGCCTGGTATTCGTCCTAAATTAAAAAAGTGTGACTTTAATTTCAGAGATACATAACTGAAACTTGGGAACGGATCCGTCAACTTGAACCAACATCCACCAACATGAACAATGAATCGTTGTCGGGATCTACTGATGAATTTGATCAATACCTTACTGAAATGTTCGGTGGTTCAATGGATACCAGCATCCAAGAAAACGCAACCAATTTCCTCCAGCAAGTCAAGTCCCTTGACTTGGAGCCACGCCAAAATCACAACTATAACGTCTGGAATCATTGGCTACGCCGTAAAACCACGCATCCTGAGCTCCACGCAGTGGCTATGATTGTGTTGTCCACACCCTCGAACCAAGTTTCAGTTGAGAGGTCATTTAGTGCCCTTGGACTGGTTCTCTCTAATCTACGAACAGGGCTGGCAGAGGAAACATTGGCAAATATCTTGATGATAAAACTAAACAAAAATTTGTTCCAGAAAACTATTCAGTCAGTTTACAATTGGAAGGAATATGTTGAAATTTCCGGTGACGAAACATCGATGGTAGTTTAATTTTGCTCATTTTTCTTTTCATTCCATTGTTGATTCAGAACCTTTTGTTTAGTCTCTTCAATTTGTTTATTTTGATATATGTTTTATTCCAATAATCAATCAGAAGCTAACTTGCAGTTAAAGAGTAAATAAAACCAAAAGAGTAAAAATATGTTGAAACTATTTTCCAAAACCATGGAACAACCTACTCCAATCGCACACACCACATAAGGAAAGGTTCATTAATTATGTCACGCAAATTTGGCCCATTTTCCACCCCCCCCCCCCTCCCCCCTTTGTCACATTTTTGTATGGACCTTAATTTTTTTTTTTGTATCGCTCGTCACAGTTTTCAAAACCCCCCCTCCCCCCTAAAAGTGTGACATAATTAATGGACGATCCCTAACAAGCACCCAATCTCGATTACTGTTCTCCGAGCGATCTAGCACTGGAAACTATAGATGACAATTTCAGCAGAATACCAAGCCTACAAAGATGCGATTCCATCTTTGCTATAAAATAGTGGTGGAGCAAGTCCAAATACTCAGTCCGGAATTCACGTAAAACGTGAACAACATGTGTAAGGACCTTAGTGCCAAATGGAAACAATTGAATTCAAACGCCGATTACTCACCAGCCACAGAACGCATACGCAATCTAAGTACACCGTCTTATAGAGCTTATTTCCTCTTCCAGATGATGCTGTTGGTTTGCTTGAGTAAAACCTAATTCACAAAAAAGTAGCGTTTGAAGCCATTACTGACATTTGAAACTGAGGCCATATTGTTCACGTATTGCGTGAATCCCGAACTGAGTATTTGTAATTACTTCATCGCTATTTCGCAAAGATGGAATCGCATCAACATTTCCGATGTTTACATCGTTCACTATCAACTTGTTACATTTTTAATCGGAGACCACCTGAAGAAGAAAAATCAATATGAAAAACAGTCAAACTCTTATTAGACACACTAGGTACAGCCTTCCCTCCGTATCTGCGGTGGGTGATACCCACCAAAATTTCTATGTTGTCCTTCAACCAATTGAGTTGATTTTCTGTAGATAACTAGTTTGTTTCACTCTAATCACATATTAAAAATCAGCTGAATTGCTTTAAGGGCAACAAAGAAATACCTGTGGGTGGACGATATCACCCACCGCAGATATGGAGGGAATGCTGTATAGTAAATTTGCTCCTGCCTGCCGATTACTAAGATGCTACGAACAGAAAAACGTGCGAAGGTTCCCTGGAATTCTTCATGAGCATGAGTTAGATTGATGTTGTGCACTTTCCGCAAAACAGATTCCTTCTTACAAACGTAGTCCACCGTGGACTGTCCGCGAAATTTATTATTGTGATTAGGATCCCGTTTATCTGGAGTTTTTCTTCACTGTCCTCGTAGGTGGTAAAATCTGCTGGTGTATAGGGTTTCCGTCTTTATTCTGGTAGGTTCCGTGCCACTGCGATTTGTTGTTGTCAAGGAATGTAGCATTTTGGATAGATTTTATAATCGATCTGATAATCGGGGCGCTCTATCACCAAAAACGAATCCTCAATCGTCCTATGACATCAAATGCTTATAGGAATTCCAGCTCCTTTTGCTGCTGATTCTAGAACGTTACCTGAGATACCTGCTGCAAAACGAAAAGTATCATTCTTAAACTATAATTCAGTGCCAACATTTCAAAGAGGCGTAATTGCTTTTGTAAACAATGGCTTTAGCAGCTGATTTCTCGTGAATAAAAGACCACTCATGAAAATTAATGACATCAACAGGTAGAGGAATGTTTCATCTACCAGCTAGCATTGTAAATTTGGAGAAGTAAGTATTTATTTGTGAGAAATCAAGAGCTAAAGCCATTGTTTACAAAAGCAATTACGCCCCTTTGAAATGTTGTCACTGAATTATTTTCTTTATAACTATACTTCCCATGAGTGATCCTTAGTGAAAACAAGTCCGTTTTTCGATTGATTAACATTCAGCGCACACGGCGCGCAGCGAAGGAACTGGTATGTTTTGGTTATGACTGCACGGCTTGCTATGTTATGACGTTTCAACACAGGTATGGTCTAGTGAATTTTTCGTCTCTTTCGTTTTCCCGCTGTTTTTATGGTTGATGGTGTGACGTCAGCTTTGTAAAGCAGCGGGAGAGTAACAGAAATGACAAATTCACTGGATCATACCTGTTTACATCTGATTGAGTAAGGTTAAACGACGAGGAGACGGTACGTCTTTCGCACTTTTATTTGGAAATAAAAAATAATGCTACCAAGATATTCAATTCATTTTTCAACCAAAATTATTTGTTGAGGTGCCGCGTTGCTATGCTTGGAAAATTCATTACGTAAATATAAAGTGAAATGAATGAATTTTGCAGTCCTTGTGACATGACAAGATGAACGTGAATTATTTCCTGGTTCATTCTCATAGAATCCAAATACGAATGAGTGTAGAAAGATTGCGTGAAATATAAAATGCACAGAAAGTGGAAGCAAAAATCATTAGTGCCATTGTTGTTCATTTGGTAGAAATCATGGAAAGATGTATACTGAATTCCGTATTGACTCAGCTCTCGCTGCGTCAGCAAAATGAATTTGATTTTTTGCAACTCTGGTCTGTAGTAAACCTGTGGGGAAAACGTGGGTACTACGACCGAATATGGTATAGGGGAAACGCTCCTATAGTTGCGGTACGTTAGAAGCGTTAGGTTCCTATAGTTATGCATGGATACTCTATACACAACTATAGGAACCTAACGCTTCTAACGTACCGCAACTATAGGAGCGTTTACCCTACTGGATGTATTCGGCCATAGTTCGACCAAAAAATACCTATGCTTCACTGATATGGTGGCCCAAAACAAATGAAATAACCGCTCAAAAGAAGTTAAGGAAAATACAAAGACTTGCTTGCATATTAATGACAGGAGCAATGAAAAGCACATCATCAGATGCTTTGGATGCCGTTCTCAATATTTTGCCCTTACACCAATTTGTTAAACTACAGGCAGCAAAAGTGCTTCACAGTTTAACCGGCAAAATAAACTTTGAGATGGATATTTTTGATAGGACATCTATAAAATTACTTAACAATTAAACATATCGGTATGAATATGGATATTTTGATAGGACATCTATAAAATTACTTAACAATAAAACATATCGGTATGAAAATGAAGTATCATTTTTTCTGCCTGTGTCTCGACCAAAGTTTTTTTTTTTGTGTAATGGTACAATTTTGCCGTCAACAATCTGTCAGCAATACAATGGCGATGGAGACCATTTTAATTTCTCTTTCAAGTGCCTTTTCCATGATCCTCTCACAACCTGTTAGTAAATTGCAGCCCGTACTCTCGTGTAAGTCACGGGTATTCGACCCCTGAACAATGGATCCACAAAGCTACCGCTATTGAGCCTTGAGAAATATATTAATAATAAATAAAAATCTGAATTTTTCTAGCTCCTGTTAGTACTTCGTAACAAACCACTACAACTAGGATTCCTAAAGAAATAATGTGGCTCCTACACCAATCATCCACTTAATTGCCTAGAACAAGACGATGAAATGTAGGAACAGCAAATTACCTGTAACAAACCTGGACTTCCACACCAAAGCCAATGAACCTACCTACATGCGACCAGATTTCATTGACGACACAACCTATCCAAGTGAGATCAATGAATGAGCTTTGAGCACATAATACAACGTAGCCCAAATCAACCGTCGACAACTAGACAATCTACGGAAAGAGATGAGAAAGGAAAAAGGGCTGAAAGATAAATCCATTCAATCAAATCTCCACTTTTTACGCTACTCACTCTGGCTAGCGCCAGCAGCATCCAAAGACTCATCCAAGACGACCATGAATTGCGAGTCCGGTCCGGTCAGTGAGAAGTAGTCAATGAAATCTTGGGACACACATATGCCTAGGCACATACAGTTTTCTCCGATGGTCTTCTGGAAAAGAGACACATCCGCAACGTAACTACCTACCTATATACTCTCACAGCAAACGACGACGACGGCGACGTTTGGCAGAGGAAGTGACTTGAACGAGTGGGTAGATGAAGGAGGAAAACTTTGCGATCATTCTCAAATGACTATGACTTTGGCGGTCAATCACCAGAAAATTTTGACTTCAACTATCACAAATAATAGAGGTGTCGGGATTTTAATTTAATTTTAATTTGTTCGAATCATATACAGTTAACTTACCCGTCATGTTTAGAGTGCAGTTACATTTGAGCATTTGAGCATCCCTCCATGCATAGGTCCAGCAAAATAGCGGAACGAGTCAATCGATATCCGCTTGGAGGAGTACCCTGAAGAAGACACACATCATCTTCCGCAGCACATATACAAACGCAAGCGGTTGGTGGAAATTACTCGCCGCCAAAAATGGGTACCCGTAGAACAATGAAAATTAGTTTAATTAAATTATAAATTGCTACCAAAAAGGTAGCGGTAAGCGCGGAACCTACCTACCTTCCTAGACTGCCAATAATCTCAAGTGCGACTCGCTGGCCGCTGCTGGTGAATGGAAGGCATTTGGAAGCCGTTTGGTCATATGTAGTGGATGCGAATAGAAGAAACAAAAAATGTTCAATTTGGAATTTAATGATGCTACATCCCGATTTTAATAATATAATAAAATCCACACTCCCGAGTTGATTACTTTTTTTTTCCTCGCTCTCTATCCCGCTTCCACACATCATTAGTCATTATTTTTTGTGTGTTTGTGTGGTGCCGTGTTTCGCACTGGGCTGCGCTGCTCGAGTTTGAATATGGAGGGAGCTTGATTTGCATTGGCGTAGCTAAGGGGAGTTTGATTAGTTGCAGTTGCTTCAAATTTTAAATTTCATTAGATTTCATAATTGCCTTTCATCATAAAGTATTAAATTAAATTGATGCAAATATGTCAGGAGTTGAAATATTAAGAAGACCCTTTGAAGCCCCTCCCGTATTTAAAAATATCCCCCAGTTACATCCACGTTGGTTTACCTTCCCGCG